AATCCGTGACTGCACAGTTTGACAGAAAAGTGTAATATAGTCTACGATTTATTTTTTTTGTTCATTTTGAAACTGTGACTCCAATGTTTGATAGAAAAAGTGAAATATAGTCGAAAATGGTATTTACGACTTTTTTGGTCATTTTGATTTTTTGTTTTTCAAATAGTTAGGTACTCCACCGTTCGACAGAAAAGTTAAATATAGTCAAAAAACTACGATCAAAATTCTTTCTTTACTTTGAATCTGCGACTCCAATTTTTGATAGAAAAAGCGAAATATAGACGAAAATTTTTTCTTCGACTTTTTCGTCTTTTTTCTTGTTTTTGTTTTTTTTTTCAGACTGTGACTCCTATGGTTGATAGAACAAGTGAAATATAGTCAAAAATGTTTTCTACGACTTCTTCAGTTTTTATGTTTTCTTTTTTCAAACCGCGACTCCAATATTTGATAGAAAAGGTGAAATATAGTCGAAAATGTTATCCACGTTGATTATTATGTTTTTATTTTTCAAACAGTGACTGCACAGTTTGACAGAAAAGGGAAATATAGTATACGACTTATTTTTTTTTGTTTATTTTTGAACTGTGACTCTAATTTCTGATAGAAAAAGTGGAATATAGTCAAAAATGTTATCTACGACTTTTCCGGTTTTTTGTTTATTTTGATACTGTGACTACAATTTTTGATAGAAAAAGTGAAAGATAGTCGAAAATGTTATCTACGACTTTTTCGGTTTTTATGTTTTTTTTTTTAAACTGTGATTACAACGCTTGATAGAAGAAGTGAAATATAGAAGAAAGTGTTATCGACGACTTTTTTGGTATTTTTTCTTGTTTTTGTTTTTTTTTCAGACTGTGACTCCTATGTTTGATAGAAAAAGTGGAATATAGTCGAAAATGTTATCTACGATTTTTTCGGTTTTCAAATATATAATTTTTTTATCGGTTATAAGGACAGCAATGCGAAGCCGCGGGTGAAAGCTAGTACATAATATAAAATGAAATGGCTCCAAACTAAAGAATTACAAAATAAAAAATGTGATCTTTTTTTATTCTTGAATAATCTAAGGACATTTACCTACACATTAAATATCATTAAAAAAATAAAAAAAATAATCTTCTACTTATATAACTTGGATTTTTTCTGTAGGCAAAAGTCTGTCAAGAGGACAATTTGTGTTCTAGTATTGTATTGTTGATCCAATTTCCTGTTCAAAGGAAATCTTATTTTTGAAGAAAAACATGACATTTAAAAAGATGATTTAAATTCACCCCTGCAGCTTTCAATAAATCTCAAGACTTTTCCTGTAACTATTACAAAAACTCTTTGTGTATTACTTTCACTACCCAAAAGACATAGTTTAAAATAGTTTTTAAATTGCCGTGATATATTATTCTTAAGCTCTTCATGTTCATCTACCTTCCCAAGACACTACCGTCTCGACTAGAATATGGGCTGGAATACAAATTCCAAACAAGAGTTGCAAAATTTCACTATTCAGAATATTATAAATCTGGCAACATCGCTGGATGCACAATTGATAGAGCTATGTGAAAATATATACGCAGGAGGCAAAATTGAATGCGAAGTATACAGATGTAGAATTGATAGCAAATATATCAGGAAACGTATATCCGAAAATCAAAGTTAAGGAGATCCCATTACGCGCGCTATATTTAGAATTATATGATGTTTCATATACACCACCTAGAATTAGAAAATAACGCCTCCTTCCACATGATGCGGAATTACACCTTTTTGTATGGAAGCAGAATTGATAGGTGGATGTATATATATATATATATATATATATATATATATATATATATATATATATATATATATATATATATATATATATATATATATATATATATATATATATATATATATAAATTCCCTAAAAAGTTGTTTTTTACTAATTTTTTTATTGCGTTCTTAATTTTAATTTAAAACTGAAAATTTTTGGCTGAAAATGCAAGAAATTCAAAGCCTCGTACTTTAAATCGGTTTTCCCGGCCTGGAAAAGCGGAAAATCCAAAGAAAAACCTCTGAAAAGGACATTCCAAAGCCTACTTGATGAAACTTGAGTTTTTGTCACTTACCCCATTAGAAAACTGGAAATTTTTGGCACAAAATGAAGTAAACTCAAAGCCTCGTACTTAAAATCGGTTTTACCGATCCAAAAAGCCCTGGAAAAGCAGAAAATCCAAAGAAAGTCCTTTGAAAAGGACATTCTAAAGCCTACTTGATGAAATTTGAGTTTTTGTTACTTACCCTATTGGAAAACTGAAAATTTTTGGCACAAAATGAAGGAAAGTCAAAGCCTCGTACTTTGAACCATTTTTTCCGTTTTAAAACGGCCTGGAAAAGCGGGAATTTCGAGGAATAACATGGATAAAAACATTCAAAATGGTCGACTTTCCAAATTGACAAATGACATTTATTACAAGATTTACATGATTAAAGTTGGCTACAAACGATGTTGCCACATCAAAACTTCCAGAAAAAGCATTTAAATGGGATTATCCTAATTATGGCATTTAAAAATATAAATTTGTGCTAGAAAATGAAGAAAACTCAAAGCCTCGTTCTTAAAATCGGTTTTCCCGACCGAAAAAGCCCTGGAAAAGCGGAAAATTCAAAGAAAAACCTCTGAAAAGGACATTCCAGAGCCTACTTGATGAAACTTAAGTTTCAGTCACTTACCCCATTGGAAAATTGACAATTTTTGGTAAAAAATGGAAAAAACTTAAAGCCTGATATTTAAAATCGGGTTTCCTAATTGAAGAAGCTTTGGAAAAGCGGAAAATCCGAAGAAAAATCTCTAAAAAGAACATTCCAGCACCTACTTGATGAGACTTGAGTTTTTGTCACTTACCCTATTGGAAAACTGGAAATTTTTTGCACAAAATGAAAAAAACTCAAAGCCTCGTACTTTGAACCAATTTTTCCGACTTAGAACGCCCTGGAAAATCCAAGGAAAAACTGGATAAAAACGTAAACACGTCACTGCAAAATGGCCGATTAAAAGCGACGTTGCCGCATGACATTAATGACATTTTAAATGGTTTAAACTGTTGAATAATTAAATAATAACGATTATAAAACAATAAATTTCCCAAATAAGGTTTTGGAAACTTGTTTCTAGTTTAATTTTAAAGAAAAAATGTTTAATCGTTAATTATATGTGAGTAAGACAGAGACAACAATAAAGTAGTACACGTTTGCAAAAAACCCAAATGGGTGAGATAAAGTAGGATGCTATTTAGAACGCAAAATTATCAAAGTACGATGAAAACCAAACAAACCAAATATTTGATAAAGTAATACCCACTTAAATATTTAAAAAATTGATAACAAAAGTACCGTTAAACTGGTAATTCGGCCCTTACCAGGCCCTTAGTCCGGAACTAAAGGCCCGCCCACACAGCGTTGGTTTATGTGGATAAGGTTAGATACTCTAATAGACAAGAAATTAAATAGTTTGCTACGTTGTCGTGATCACGTCACGCTTTTTATGGAAATTTGGTAGCGGTCGTGATCCGTGATTTTTAGATATCAGTGATTAAATCACAGTTCGTGATATATCGCTCATCACTACTTTTTTTGCACGAATGCTGTACACATCTAAAATGTTGGGAAAGGTGAGTGGAGAAAGCACGAATCAGAAATTATTGTTATATCGAATTTAGATACAGAAATACAAATGTACCAGCGTACTTTTACAAAGCGAATGGTACCAAATTTGGTACAATTGTACCACCTCTGGCAACACTGCCTGATACATTTCTGAACATGTTGATTGACTTTGCAGGAGTTTGAATTCTCATTGAGAAACTCCAAAAAATCAGAATGTTCCAAAATTGCTACAATGGTCAAACTCAATTTGATAAAATTGCAAACTGTTGCACATTTTTGAAGATGTTAACTGGCTCCTATGAGACTTGAAACACATTTAAAACCAATCAGAAATTACCAAAAATGTCAATGAGAGTTAACGAGAACAAATTTCAAATTGATCCTCATACATTTCTGACGATGCTGACTGATTTTGCAGAGGTTTGAATTCCCATTGAAATAAACTCCAAAAAAAAAACAGAATGTTTCAAAATGACTAGGAGCCTCAATCAAACCCAACCTGATGAAATTGCGAACTGTTTTTGAAGATGTTAACTATCTGGCTCCTGTAGGACTTGAAAGTCACTTAAAACTAATCATAAATTACCAAAACTGTCAATGAGAGCCAACGAGAACAAATTTTTAATTGATCGTGATATATTTCTGAAAATGCTGATTGATTTTGTAAGAGTTTGTAAGAGTAAGAAATTCCAAAATGGCTAGGAGCCTCAATCAAACCCAGTCTAATGAAATTGCAAACTGTTCCAGACACATTTTTGAAGATGTTAAGTGGCTCCTGTAAATTTGAATTCTTGTCAGAAGACACTCACTTAAGATTTATAAAATTTGCTATTCTTCACCACAGCTTTATTGTCTTTGTCGTCACTCAAATGACCTAATAATCATTAAAATTTTGTTTATTTTTTTATTCATCATTATCATACAAACTCTTGGATTGAGATCTTTTCTGAATTGTTCTGTTTCGCTTATCGGCTCGTGGTTTCTATTGCAGCAGTTTTCTTGCTCAGTCACCTTTGCTCTTCTTCGTATCTTCTCATTTTCCAAATTGTCCTCTCGCTATTTCTAAGAAATATAATTAATTGTTGGAGCAAAAATGTCGCAATTTCCTCGATTATTGAAGACAAAATATGAGGCCACATCTATCAAAGGATGCCGAAAACTCGTGTCGGTCATAAATACATAATGTTTTTTATATGAAATTGTCACTTGGTCACCGCAAATTAATTGGTGCCTAATTTATGGGTTCATCTTCAGGTCCAGGAACCTCGTGATGCTTTCTGATTCTAATATGGAAGTCAACAAATAATCAATTTAAGGCAGTGAACCGTTTATTAAAAATATTCAATAAATACACAATTCTATTGTCCAAGTTCGTCTTGTATCTCTTGAAAAGTTTTCCCCTTAGTCTCGGGCATGTAAAACAGAACGAAAAACACGCACGAGCCGGATATAAACGAGAATATCATATAGCACGTATAAGCTCCCACCAAGTCGCTGACATTTTGATAGCCAACGGACACCAGAAACGCTAAAAACCAATTCAGCATTCCTGCATAAGAGCTCATTCGGGCTTTGATTGCTGCTGGAAATATTTCTGGTAGACACAGCCAGGCTATAGGGCCAAGTCCAACGGAGAACGCTATAATGTAAATTACTAGAGAGGATAAAGGTAGCCAGCCCATTGCTGTAACCGCGCTTGCGCTCACTAATTCTTTATCTTTTAACAAAAAGTAGATTCCCAATGCAAGTGTTGATAAGCACATTGCGCCAGAGGAGGCTATCAAAAGAATTTTCCTGCCCAATTTTTCTACTAACCATGTCGCTAGAGCCGTTCCAGCAACATGCACAATTCCCAAAATCACTGTAGACAGTTGCGGACTTACACTCGAAGCGGCTTCCACAAAAATGCCTTCAGAATAAAACATTACAGCCTTAATTCCGCACATTTGCTGATAAAACATAATCATAAAACAAATAAATGAAGCCTTTTTGCCTTGCTTAGACATCAATTGTGTTTTGAATTCACTTTTTAATGCTTCAGTGTGTTCCACTTGCTTTTCAATTGCCAATATTTCCTCAGATGGATCATAGTCTTTGCCTCGAAGCTTTGTAAATACTTTTATTGCTTCTTCTCGTTTGTCTTTTTTAATCAAATACACTGGAGTTTCCGGCTGGAACATAAACAACAAACCCATGCTTAGTGGAATTATGGCGCACGATACTGTATATATTACTATAGGTATAACCCAGCCTAATACGTTTGCCCAAAGTATCCCAAATGTCAAAAACATTTGAAAAAAAGTACCTAAAGTTCCTCTGATCTGTTTTTCGGCAATTTCAGATGTATACAGAGGCCCCATAATGCTAAAAGCCCCTCCAGCCATGCCTGTAAGGAATCTGCCCACCATTAGCATGGCGTTATGCTGTGTGAAAATAATCAAGAGCCATCCAAGTATAAACGGCACAAGCATCAATAAAACTGTGGGTTTTCGGCCCAATTTATCGGCCATGTAGCCGATGGGAAGCATCACGAAAACGGCACCCAAACACATTATGGATCCAGCCCAAGACAAATCGATTTTGACGCCGTTTAAATCGCCTTTTTTTAGGTTTTCGTTGATGTTCGCGGTCCAGCCAATGTTGATCCCGCTGCCCATTGCGCCTAAACATACTGCTACTGTTGCGAAATATTGATGGAACTTTTTAGCGTTATTCATAATTGAGAATAGATTGAGTTTGTGGACTTAACTTATGTTTATTTCTTGACAGGTTTTTTTTTTTTGAAACTTCACACCTGAGTCAGGTGCCTATGCACCTGACTCAGGTGTTGCATAGCTGCAATATCTGTGAAATGAAAAATAATAGTCTAAGAGCCAGCGCCGAAAAAATTCTCTGAATTTACCAAAGCTAGTTTTTGGACAGTTGATTACAGTATTTACGTACATAAACATACCGCGGTCAAGCGAAACTTGGGAGAAGGACCCAGGGCACAGTTTATACCATACCGATACAGTTGTTCAACTCCGTTCACAAACCATTGATTTTTTTGAAGCCAAATTATATGTCCCTATAGGCGATTTTCATCCTGGAATGATTATTTATCGGTAAATACCGTGGTTATTCTTTTGGTTGACAACTTTGACAGCCAAGTGTGACGTCATAGCCCGCCACCACTCAAGAATCATAACCAAGGAACTGACCGCTGAAATGGTTTGGTTATGGAAGTGTCGGGTTATGTTTATAATTCTTATTTGTTTTTTCGTTTCAACATTGGTTTGTTGTTTAAGTACAAAAAATGGACCGGAATTTCTCGTTAGTCTCGTTTATCGAACAGATTTTCTTTGGGGATGATCTAAACCTCGATCTAAACATGGTGAGTTGCAGTGAGTAAGTGAGTGTATACTTCTTCTATTGTGCCAGGCCACAACACAACTGCAAAATCACAAAACACCAATACCAATTCCCAAAATAATAACAATAACATCAAAAAGCTGTAACCAAAAGATTAACCCAAGTCCAAAGCTGGGTTATAATCGGTTATAAGTGGTAAAGTACGACAAATACCATTTTAAAGTCACGTGATATTGGTGGCAAAAAACGTATTATGTCCATTGATTATGTCGTCGATATCACCTACAAAAAGCTACTGGTGGTTAATTACTATTGAATTTTAAGATATGTTCCCACTAGCATTTCACAAACGCGTTTCTGAAGTAGTATTGACCAATCAGATGGGAATTTTAATACTTGCAATTGCTGCGAGATACACTTTTGTCGCATCTGCTGTCCATTGTAATACATGCTGAAGTTGAATTGGGTACCCGTTTTCTATTTGCTTCTTTTCGAGTTGGAAAAAGGTTAATATAGTCAAAATTATCAGCTGTGTTTGTTCGTTGTATCATTTTTGAAAATAACTTTGACAAACTTATTTATGACAGTGACGGATTCTATTTCAGGTAAGAATATTATGAACAATAATTAGACACCAATTTTTTTGTCAATTTTACTATCACCGCTGTTTAAGATGTATTCAACAAGGATAGAGAAAAATCACGTGACTTTAAAATGGTATTTGTTGGACTATAAATACCAAAAGCAAATCAGCTGATATCTGACGTCACAACTTCCCCTACTTTGGTTAAAGCCGCGACGGCGGAAATGCATTGGTTATAACTAAATAATAATTAATAATCATTCCAGGCTGAAAATCGCCTTATATTTCGCGCTTGCGCATTATTGATCGGAAACAACGAATCCTGGGCCGTGGACAGAGTCGGACTAGGATTTTTTGTGGATTAACATTGAGAATATAACGGGATCATATTATAATTTCGAGATAAATAATATAATAATTGCAATGGGGCATAATATACTACATAGTTTAAAAAAAAAAATTAGCCATCACTAAGTTTTTACGCAAAAAAGTTCACTGGCTCTTAGACCATTAGGACACAGCCAGGATTTCAATCCCATCCAGATTTGCATCACAGTATTAGATATTTTTGGAATGTGGACAATTATTTCATCAGATCAAGATTATTTGAATGTATAGAATAAACCTAATATGAAATGTGTAAATATAAATACTTACAGTCGTTCATCGTTCGGGAAACTTAAATATCCTAAGCCTGGGCTAGTTCTAGTGTTGTTTTTACAGACAAAACAGGAAGCAACCATGATAATACACAATATATAAACGATAAAACAGACAAGTAAGTACACAAAAATCGCGAATTAATGGAATTAACACGAAAAGCAAAACACTCTTAACAAAGCCGAATTTCAAATTGATGAATTTTCCGGTTACTTTTCAATTTCCTGAATAATTTCAGTCAAAAAACTTCTCTTCTTTTTTTGTAATACAATCCTGTTGCGTTTCTCGTTTGACAGTTATTTCTCGCGGGTTCTCACCCAAGCTATCTCTATCTCTTTTTTGCCTGCAGGATTGGAAAGAGACATGTATATGCCGAACTGCTTTTTCAATTTGAGAGATTTGTTCACTCATTGAGCGCATGCGCAAGATATGGGTCAAAATGCTCCTATTGGTTGGAGAATTTGGCTTCAAAAAATATGGAGAGTTGTACAACTGTATCGGTACGGTATAAACTGTGCCCAGGGTGTCTTGTTAAAGGTGTCGAGATAACTTGGGTAATGCAACGAATTTACTAAAGCTGGAAATCGTTATACATATTATATATAACATATAAATAACAGTAGTGTTAGTCAGTCAGTTGAATAGCGGGACCGTGCTGGTCAGTCAGCCCCAATAAATGTAAAAATCTGCAAAAAATATTAATATTACTGAACAAACCTATTAATTTAAACTTCAGCCTACAATTTTGAATTGTCACTGTCACGCTGTCACTCTAAAAAAAAAAAACCTATTATTTTTTTTTACATAAATTGGGGCTGAACTACCTCAATGGGGCTGAATGACCGGCCCAGTTCCGCTATTCAACTGACTGACAAACATCACTGTTATTTATGTGTTATATAAAATATGTAGGTATAGCGATTTTCAGCCTTAGTAAATTCGTTGCTTTACCTAGCTATCTCGACAACTTAGGTCCATGTCCCAAGTTTCGCTTGACTGACCGAGGTATGTTTACGTACCATCGTCACCAAAAGTAACTGGGACAGCATCACTAGCTCTTTTTCTATTATATGAATTTTATTGTCAAATATTTGTCAAACTGTGAATTGACCTTTTGTTTGGACGCCATATTGCGGTGCGCGAACATAGTTGCCAAACGAAGAAAATAAAAATTACTAGCGTTTTCGAGGGTATATTTTGTGGCTTTCGAATGGTTCAAGGTTATAGTTTGTGGTTTGTTTTGTTTAAGGTCAATTCTCATGAGCGTAAGTTGACATTTCTGGCGTGTAATCACGTGATAAAATGGTTGGGTTTTATTGGCAAAATATTTGACATGTTGGATATTTTACCAATTAAATTACATCATATTATCACGTGATTACGCCACAAATGTCAACTTACGCTCATGAGAATTCGCCCTTATACTTTATACATTTGAATTATGTCAGCTTAAATTTCACTCTAACCCTGCGTTCGGTATTTTGATCTGAGTTCTCCGAGATTCAATTTACCGTTCGTTTATTTAAAAATTGTGTTCGGAGCAGGCTCATTCGCGTTCGTTTATTCAAATTTCGAGCGCTCTGATACAGCTCAGTCGTCTCAATTAGTCCAGAGATTATTATGCATTATTTGTGTCCCAGATACTTTTGGTGACGATAGTACGTAAATACTGTAATCAACTGACCAAAAACTGGCTTTAGTAAATCCAGAGAATTTTTACGGCGCTGGCTCTCCGGCTATAAGACTTTCTAGGGAGGCTGTGAATAGCTTCCACATCTCAACTAATACACGCTTGTACCTTTCAACCACGAACCCTGGAATTAAGCACAGCGGCGAGTATTTTTACCAGTGCATGCGATCGATCTAACAACCAGTGTTGCCAACCTTTTGAACTGAAAATTCCCACTGCCAGAAACAAAAATTCCCTTATTTCCCACACTCGCCTAGTAAAAATTACCATTTATTTTCCCTCTTCGTACGCCGGAAATTTTTGGGTGCCGCGCCCTTTTTTTAAACCTTTTAACGGTATCAATATCAATATTTACAAAATACACAAGCAAAACAAAAACAAAAAAAATAACAAACGGCAGAACATAAAAGGTCTGTTCCAATTCCGTCAAAAACCGTCCCATGAACGGTTTCGGAACCAACAAATTTCGAATTTCGGATTCCACGCACAAAATTTAGGCTTTGGATCGTGACGGTACATTGTACGGTATTCTGCTGTGTTGAAACAAAGCTTAAGGGCCAAATTATGGACCAACTGGTACATATGCATTGAAAGTACAGACGTATATACCAGTCAGTCCATAATTTGGCCCTAAATGAATGAGTAGGGTCGGTTTCTTAATAGCGAATTACCTTTGGGTTGGTTTTAACTCCAGGGTAAACAGTTCCAGTCATTTGCAATGTTTACCCTGGAGTTAAGCTTAACTCGGGGATGACTTGCTATTGAGAAACCGGCCTTTACTACAGGACAGGAATATCAAACATTTGTGGCGAGTCCAAAAAAAAAGGAGTATTCTTCCTCTACTCGAACTCTACTACTCTGACTAGTGGAGTTAGTGCCAAATGATGGTAAAGTGAAGTTATTAAAAGAAGTTTTGAGCAACAGTCCAGAAAAATAATTCCATTTTACATCAAAGGCGCGGAAAGATGCGTAAACTTTATCTACCTGTTAAAATTCCCATGAAATCATCAGTATTTTGACTTTGTTTCCCTTTATTCCCTTTTAACTTATATTTTGGTCAAAATTCCCATGAAAAGGGAAAATTCCCACGAGTTTGCATCACTGCTTGCAACGTATTCCTTGTATTCAATAGGCTCACTAGATGAGTCCCCTTTTCCTTGACAAGGTTTGAGATCGGAATTTCCCTATTCTAGTTTTCGGAACACCCTATACTGGGATAGAGTATTAGGCAATTCAATCCATCTGTCAGATAGGGAAATTCAATATGGCGTGGCGGCCAAGCAAGTTTGCTTTGAATGTGTTTTTATGCGTATTTCAAATTATTTTGCTTAGAGTTTGGCTTGCAACTTTGATTTGGACTATTTAATAAAATATTTGTTGACTAGGTACCTAAACTAATAAATCGAGCAGATCTAGATATTTTTATCTGTTTT